ATTCTTGCCTACCCCGACTTTGAGCTCCCTTTTGTGCTTCATACTGATGCCTCCGATAAAGGACTGGGTGCAGTCCTCTACCAAAGACAAAATGGGAAACTCAGGGTAATAGGCTATGGCTCAAGGACGCTCACCCCTGCTGAAAAGAACTATCAGCTGCACTCAGGCAAGTTAGAGTTTCTCGCACTCAAGTAGGCTGTCTGCGAGAAATTTTGGGATTGTTTTATGCCCCATATTTTACCATCTACACGGACAATAATCCCTTAACTTATGTCATGACTACTGCCAAACTGAATGCAGTTGGCTACAGATGGGTGGGAGGGTTGTCAGATTTCAGTTTTGAGATCCGTTACAGACCGGGTAAGGTGAATGTTGATGCAGACACTTTGTCCCGACGGCCCCTGGATATTGACGGATATGTGGCTATCTGTACAAAAGAGCTCTCCAGAGAAGCTGTTGCGGCTGTATGGGAAGGCTGTTGAGCAGGTCAGCGTGATGATGTTGCCTGGGTCGCTGTGTTAACACTAGCACAAGGTTCTCAGCTTGAACCAAGCTGCAGGAACATCATCCAATCCATTGATCTCAAAGAACTACAAAAGGCTCAACGAGAAGATCCAGTGATTGGTGACATCCTGTGAATGAAAGAATCGGGGCTACAACTCACAGAGAATGTGAAAAGGGAGATGAAAGGCACTGCAAAGAAAGTGATGCATGAGTGGACAAAGCTACATGTTGAAAATGGGATTCTATATCGCACAAGAGCAGAAAGCCGCCAGCTAGTCTTGCCAAGCAGCTTCAAGTCACTAGTTCTGAAGCACTTACACAATGACATGGGCCATGTTGGGACTGAAAGAGTTCTCAATCTGACCAGACAAACATTTTACTGGCCTTATATGTGGCGAGACATTGAAGCTTACGTCACACGGCAGTGCCCATGCATCAAACAAAAGAAGCCGGTTACACATATCAGAGCCCCTATGTCAATGTGGCAGTGTGAGTGTCCTGTCACAGTGTCCCGATAGATCATGCGCCCTGGCTACTTGGCCAAGGGGATGTCCCTTTGGCTGACTGGTAAGAGCGTATGACTCTCACCTGGGAGTCTGGAGATCTAATCCCGCCTGGGCCCTCTTTTATCCACCTTGCCACATTTGGCGTTGTTGGCAGGATCCATGTAGTACTGTCAAGTAGGTCCATGGATGTGAAGTTTGTGGCACCCTGCGCGGGAGCACGAGGACGTGCTTGTGGAAAGAGCGGGGAAGATGTGGCAGTGTGAGTGTCCTGTCACAGTGTCCCGATAGATCATGCGCTCTGGCTACTTGGCCAAGGGGATGTCCCTTTGGCTGACTGGTTAGAGCGTATGACTCTCACCCTGGGGATCGAATCCCGCCTGGGCCCTCGTTTATCCACCTTGCCACATCAAGCATAACATCTAGCTCACCCTTGGAGCTTGCGTCCATCGATTTTCTGCATTTAGAGTCAAGCCAAGGAGGATACCAGTACATTCTGGTGGTGGTCGACCACTTCACTAGGTATGCCCAGGCCTATCCAACCTGTAACAAAAGTGGTAAAACGGCAGCAGAGCGATCTTTAATGATTTTATTCCCAGGTTCGGGTATCCCATGAAGCTACACCATGATCGGGCGTGAATTCGAAAATGAGCTCTTCTGGAATTTACAAAAGCTGACTGGAGTTGGACGCTCACGCACAACCTCATACCACCCTCAGGGTAACCCGGCGGAGCGATTCAATTGCACGGTGTTGCAGATGATGAGAACTCTTGGACAAGAGAAAAAGGAAAGATGGAAAGAGTTCCTCCCACAGATCATCCATGCGTACAACTGTACCCGGCATGAAGCAACGGGGTACTCTCCCTTTTTCTTCTCTTGAGCAGACAACCAAGATTGGCTGTGGAGGTTTTATTCAGGATGGGTTCTAGTGATGAGCCTCAAACAGCAAGAGGCTATGCAGAGAAATGGGCAGAACGGATGAGCAAGGCCTACAGAATTGCCTCAGAGAACAGCAAAAAATCGAGTGATTGTGGCAAAAAGTATTATGACCGACACCTGAAGGGAGTGATATTACAGCCTGGAGATCGAGTGCTGGTGCGTAACCTGACTGAAAGGGGTGACCCTGGGAAGTTGAGGTCATACTGGGAAAATACCATTTATGTGGTAAAAGAACAGGTCAGTGACAGCCCAGTTTACCGAGTCATTGCCGAGACAAATGGAAACAAGTCAAGGGTTCTGCACCGTAACCTACTGCATCTTGTTAATGAGCTTCCTGTGGACTTGCCTGCAGCAGCCAAGGATGCCAAGCCATCAGCTGCGAGAAGGAAGAGCATGTGTTTAACTCCAAGAGATGCAGTTTTCCAACCCAACAGTGAATCTGGCTCTGATGAAGAGAGTTCTTATTATGAGCAGAGATATAACTTAATGAGTTATAGTGCAGACACTGCCCAGCCAGCCCATGAACCTAGCCGTGTTCTCGTAAGGAACCTAGCTCCCACAGAATCAAACCAGTCAGTGAGCCAGGGGTCACACCGGAGGGAGTGGGGACAGTTGTTCAGGGAAAGGCAAGAGGAGGCCACAAGAGAAAGTGAAAGAGGACCAGATGATCACCCAAACAGGGGACCAGACACCGACCATGAAGAGGAAAGACAGGACAGAGGAGAGGAGACTGAAGTTACAGTGATGCCATATGTAGATGACAGTGAACCAACTCACTCAGAGGAGACTCTCCCTGTATCCAACCCAACATCTGCTGCAAATGAAACAATGCTGAGACGTTCTACAAGAGAACGGCGGCCAGCTTCACTATTCACCTACAATACACTAGGCCAGCCTGTTACTTCCACACATCCACAAGTGAGCTGTACTGATGTATCCATGTCATCTGGTCTGCCTGGCTATATTCTTTCACCCACTTCCTTCTCTATATCCCCTATGCCAGTCTTTTATCATAGTCCACCACCCTACCTTCCCTTTCAGTACACTTGGTCAGGACACTATCATCAACCACTTTACCAGCATTACTAACTGACGATAGTGTGTTGATTTGTATGTTTTAATAGTTAGAATTTTTGTGTGAGATGGAGGTCAGAAGGTCAGGAGCCGTTTTATTTTTTGTGGGGGAGTGTGTGATACCCTAAATGGTTTATCACATTATGGGTTTAAAGATATATATTTTATTTAAGCAAGAAGGTCCCATCTCTAATTATAGAACACTTGGTTTTCCACACATCCACAATGAGCTGTACTGATGTATCCATGTCATCTGGTCTGCCTGGCTATATTCTTTCACCCACTTCCTTCCCTTTATCCCCTAGCGGTTCCCAAACTTATTTAGCCGCGCACCCCCTTCTATGTCCCGACCATGTCGACGCACCCCCCAGCCCCCACATCAGGGCATGGCTATATATAAGGCTACAATAAGAGTCTCCTTTATGGCTATGGCGTCTGGGCTTTCTTCCTGCTTTGTGGTTTGGTTCGTTATTTGTTCTGTTCTGACTTGGTTTGGTATAACAAACTCGTCCTCAGATGGTCTTACATCTTGTTGTTCAGTTTTATTCATAACGAATTTCACTAGTCTATGTTTCTGTATCATTCTTTTGTTTGGGAAATATATGTGGTAAGCGGGACTGTTTTTGTCGTATCCTACGAAAATACCTTTTTCACACCTTGAGTCAAGCTTTCCCTTATGCTTATAAGCATAGCAAGTGGTACCAAATTTACGCATTCGTGAGAGGTTTGGTCTTTTTCCACACATCATTTGGACTGGTGTCTGTCCTGTGTACTGCGTAGACCCACAATGACTTTGGTAAAATACTCAATAAGCATGCACCTGGCCATATCAAACAATGTACGCCAGTTTCGTTCAGCTGTGCCATTTTGGTGTGGTGAGTATGGTGCCGACGTTTCATGTCTTATGCCATTTTTCCGTAACAGTGACTGGTATTCTTTTCCAGTATACTCAGACCCGTTGTCAGAACGCAAGCATTTCACTTGTCCATATGGTGCTGTATCAGCAAGGAATTTCTCAGTTGCTATTATAGCATCGCTTTTCCATTTTAAAAAGTACACAAATACTGCGCTGGAATAATCATCAGTGAACGATATTGCATACTTATGTCCGTCTATAGATTCTGGGCTAATTGGTCCGGCTATATCAGTGTGAACGAGTTCTAACACCATTTTAGCTCTAGCGTCTGGTTCTCTATTTCTCTCTTGCACAAACTTTCCCTTGATACACACTTCACATTGTCTACGACCTTGATCATTTTTGTCATTAATTTTCATTCCATCAACAACGTTTTGTTGTTTAAGAACATCATCACAATTGCAATGTCCCATAATTTCATGCCAAGTCTGTACATAGTAAGTACCATTACAGTGATCCAAAGGTTCAATACTCACGGTCCGTAGATAATATAGTCTGCCACTCTCATGAATAGGGAATATTGTTCCATCGGGGTGTTCCAGCATGCTTTTTCCGTTTCTGAACGTGACCGTAGCTCCATTTGTTGTAGCAGCTTTCACCGAGAAAATATCCTGGGGATATGAGGGTACATACAGGGCCCACTTGAGTACTATTTTGTGCTGTCTTCCCCTGTTGTCCCTGTTGATGAGCTTGATTGTTAAGAGCTTTATATGTGAGACGGAGGATCTAGGGAAGCTAAGACAGGAGAGATATGATCTCTCTTTTTAATTCTCATCAGATCTCTAGCTGCAGCATTTTGGACAAGCTGAAGACTTTTAACCAAATTCTGTGGACTTCCTGAGAGTAATGAATTACAGTAATCCACTCTTGATGTAACATGTTGAAATTATTCTGGTGATTAATGTTGTTTTCTTTTTTCCTTAAAATTTTCAGGAAATAAATAAAATGAATCTACAGTAATAAATGAAGGGATTTGCCTAAATGAAAGCTGCAATCCTTTATTTTCACATTAGGAGTTTTTTGCTGAACCGTAGTAAAATAAAAACCAGTCTGGAAGCAAGAGCAACATTTAACATCCAGTTTTATTCATCTTAGAGCACAAGAGTCACATGATCACAGGTTACTGGACACACGACTTCAACACCTTTACACAAATACCACCATCTAGTTAACAGCCTGTTTATTCAGCAGCAGTCTGGCTTTTATTCTGAAGAAAACCTTTAATGTAATAAGAGCTGAAATTTTATTCAAATGAAATGTTTTCATGTTTGTGGGATTCTGTTTTAATTTGAACATCTAAAATAATCTCAGACTGGTTTCAGTTTTCACTTCATTCTCGATAAATCAGATTTTTTAAATTTATTATCTGTGGCCATCTCAATTTGTTTTGAAACAACAAAAGAAAAATAAATATATAAATAAAAAGCCATAAACTTTAAATATTCTGCTGCACGTCAGAATACAACCCGACTGGGATTAAAACAACTTCCTGTCTGGACAGATTCAAACACAGATTTAACATCTATTATAAATACTGATGATCAATAAGCTGATGGAGCCAGAGGTAGAAAGATTAATCGGCTGAAATCTGGAGCTTTTCATATTTATTGAGACGTGATTATTGAAAATGTGCAAAAAGTCGTTCTAGAAACTAAAAGGACGCAGCAGCAGCTGTGTTGTTAGTAACTATTTAGTGTTTATTACTAATATCCATTCATCATGTATATAATTCAACTGACTTAAGCTCAGTAAATATCGTATGGTTTGCAGGAGGAGGACACGATGCTCCTAGCATCGAATCTGCTGAGTCATCAGTAAAGTACGGCGCTAGGGCTCTTACTGTGAAGGCCTAACCACGTCCCTAACACGGGCAGAGATTTTTCTACTTTTCCGATATAAACTAGCTAAGTTAGTTAAGCTGCGCAGGTTTTGTCTCTTTGCCGCTGCAGAGGCGAATCGATGGACCTCTGGATCAAACAGCATCTGTCGACTTCTACAACAAAACGCCATTTTTAGGTTTACACAACATCTAATGACATCGACACCACACGGGATGTCTCAGCTAGATCAGATCTGATGTTAGTTTCTTCTTCATGAGAGCGAACCACACCGACATGCAGCAGGTTGTCCACCACGTCACCACAAAGCTTCACGTTCATCTACTCACTACAGCAGACAGCATGCGACTACGACGACTAACAAGAAGGACTCGGCCACGCCCACCGGCCACTCTTTGCCTCCATAAGATCAAAACCGAACTGGATTTCCTGGCGAGGACTTCCTCCTCACAGAATGCTCTCGCGCTCCTCGCTGAAGGTCACAGTGTCGGAGGACACGGTGCAGATCTCCGGCGGGTCTCCAGGCTTCAGGCCCCTCTTCAGGTGGACCACACGGACGTTCTCGTTGTTGGGACCAGGTCTGGCGGTGGAGCTTGGGGACATGATGATGTTGCCAGTGGAGGTCTGGTGGGAGGAGGTGGAGCTTTCTGTTGGTGGGCGGGGCCTGGTGCCCTGCTGGGCATTGGTGTTGTTGTTCAGGGTGACGTTGCTGGGCGTGCGGTTCAGGTTGTAGGACTTGGAAGATGGCCAGCTCTCTTCGGGGCTGCTGGCCAGCAGGCTGCACTGGTCCTCGGAGCAGATGGACATTCGGGTTACAGTCGGGTCCTGCAGGCCGCTCAGGCTGCTGGGTAGGCCGCGCTTCCTGGCCACGTTCTCCTCGTCCAGCTCAATGAGGTTGGCTCTCTCCAGCTGAGACAGATCCGCCTCCTCATCCTGCAGCGAGTGGTTAGGCGAGCTCTCGTTGGAGCGCACACCCGAGTCGGAGGAGTCCTTCTTGTCCAGCATGGCGTCCGACAGGTAGTCCTTCCCCTTCAGGGCGAGCGAGCCTCCTGGCAGCTTGGGGTCGATCGCCCTCTTGCCATCTTTCAGCTGGGATGGGTTATCAGACTCCTCAGACTCCTCGTCGTCACTGGTCAGCTTCTGGTAGCGAAGTCCGCTGGTGGCCTTCACCTTCAGGTCGGCGGCGCCCTGGAACAGCCCTCCCCTCTCAGCAGACAGCTTACGGGTCAGCAGGAACTTGGACGAGCCGTGGTCTCCTTTCTCGTCCTCCTCTGTGATCGGGTCAAGACCGTCGCCGTTGGAGGGGAAGTCGGTGTTGTCTGCCAATGGCTTGGCGCCGTTTCTCTTGTTGAAGGATTTTCGTCCATCCTGCTCAGTGCCGTCTTTGCTCTCGTCTTCAGATGATGATGATGTCATGAACTGTCCTGGCTGTGGTTGGACGGGTTTCTCTGTGATGCTTCCCAGTTCCAACTGGGCCATCTGAGCGATGTACTCCTGGTAGGCATTGCGGTATTCCGCCTGCTGTTTGTCCGTCAGCTTGGCGATGTCGTTGGACGACTCCTGGGAGTTCAGACTGGTCATGCTGGCGGTCCGGTGTGCGATGCCCTGAGGACACACGGAGCACCTTAACAACCGTCCTCTCAGACCCACCTGGTTCTGGGAGGTCAGAACGCCACTTACCATCCAGGGTGTGTTTCCGTTCCGCGGCGCCTCATCCAGTCCGACACCACTCAGCTCCTCAAAGCTCAGGTTGAAGCTGTACATCGCCGAACCATCAGTGTTGGCGGCGCCAGCGTGGGGCGGGGCTAAAGCTCTCCTTCCCACCTCCACGGGGCCACCCACAATGCAGCCTTGCTCGCTGGCAGTTTCCTCGTGTAGGACCTGGCTCTCGATGTGGCGCATCTCCAGAACCTGTAGCAGAAGATGGGGTCAGACCCGGTTCTGGCAGTAAATGTGGTGCTGAGGGTTGTTTGGTGCTGACCATGGCTCTGAAGAGCTGCCAGTCTCCAAAGTTCATGTTCATCTCCTTCTTCAGCTCATCGATGTTACACTGAGACAGAACCCGGCCGTTCACGTTGGCCTGAAAACCAGAACAGAACAAACCCGTTAAACATCTGTTCCAGCGGGTCTCCTCCACGCATCCCGTGTCTCGCCGACCTTCCTGATGGTGGCGGTGTACTGTCCAATCATGGTCGGGTCCAAACCCTCGGTGTGACGCACGCGTTCACAGATGGAGTCCGTCGTCATGGCGCTGAGGAGGATGGAGGGAGCACCCGACACAATGGAGGCTGAACCCTGAACACACACACACACACACACACACGCTTATGGATATTAGCTTACAACACTTAGAGCAGGTCAGATGTGACTCTTTCATTCTGCTTTAATCTGCTTGGTAATAGTTAGTGGTTGGTTACTCAGTTAGTTAACCAGGCTGTGACCTCATAAAACAACAAAAAAGATATTGAAACTTTATTCTGAAATCCTTTACCATCCTAACATCGGGTTTTATTCTCCAACTAGTTTTCCTCTGACGGATTTCCAGAATCACCTGAATTAATTCTTAAATGGTGGAAATTTCGGAAAATGTTCAAACTGACACTTACCATAACCAGTTAGTTACCGCAAACAGTTAGTTACCATAACCAGTTAGTTACTGCAAACAGTTAGTTACCATAACCAGTTAGTTACTGCAACCAGTTAGTTACCGTAACCAATTAGTTACCGTAACCAGTTAGTTACAGCAACCAGCTAGTTACCGCAACCAGCTAGTTACCGCAACCAGTTAAGTTACCGCAACCAGCTAGTTACCGCAACCAGTTAAGTTACCGTAACCAGCTAGTTACATAACCAGTTAGTTACCGCAACCAGCTAGTTAACATAACCAGTTAGTTACCGTAACCAGTTAGTTACCTTAAGCAATTGGTTACCACAACCAGTTAGTTACCGTAACCAGTTAGTTACCGCAACCAGTTAGTTACAGTAACCAGTTAGTTATCACAACTAGTTAGTTACCGTAACTAGTTAGTTACCATAACTAGTTAGTTACCGTAACCAGTCTGGACCCAGATAGTAACAGAATGAAAAACTCTGATAGGAAACAACGAAGCTGAAACTAAAATTGGGTTTAATTACTTATTTATTACTGAAACCGAACAAAGAAACAATAATAATCATCATCATCATTAGCTGTTAAATTACAGGTAGTTTGTTTCCTCCAAAATAAAAGCTCGTCAGAGGAGGGGCTGCAACAACGAATCGATAAATTCGATGAAAATCGATTACTAAAAGCGTTGGCAACGAATTGCGTCATAGATTCGTTGTGTTGCACAACTCTTCCAAAAGCCCCCTCCCCTCCCGCCCGCCGTTGCGCGCAGACCGGAGAGCCGGCAGGTGTTTGGAAGAGGAACATGGCAGAAGCAGCGAGACCCAAAAAAAGTAAAAACTTGGGAGCATTTTCAGTTAAATCAGGCGAAGACATTCGTTACCTGCAACGTTTGTAGGTCAGACTTAGCATGGCACGGGAGTACTACGGTGATGATGCAGCATCTTAAACGCAAGCATGTCAGAATCATCAGCGAGGAAGGAGAGAGCTCGGTGTCCGGGTAAGTTAAAAACTTCAAAAGTGATTCACCCAAGCCCCGGATTATTACACAGGCTAGACATGCCCTAAGCTCGTAAAAACAAGTCTATAAAATCGTAAGCGCGACGCTATTAGATAGGCGGGGGGGGGGGGGGGGGGGGGGGGGGGGGGACTCGCGCAGCTGCCAACCGGTTCCGCCGTCACATTCCCGCAGAAACTGGTTGATCACACCGGGGCCAGACCACTAGCATGTGGCTTTACAACCACAATGTCCTCAGAAGCGAAAACGCTTTTAAAAGGGAGGGAGGGGTCCTAACTGTTGCTGCAGGCGTGTTGTGTGAGAGTGCAGTTATATACTGGTTAATATATTTTGGGGTTCAGTTGCTTTCATGTGGCCTAATGTGAGTCTATTTGGGATCATTGGAATGATCAGCAGCATTTCTTGATGTGACTTTATGGCAGTTGCCCAGGGCATCATCGCAAGGAGGGTGGCATTCATTTACTTTTGTTTTATTTGGTATTTTTTCAGTCATTTTTGGAAATGGTGATTAATTTTGATTAATTCACAGCCAGTGTTTAATTACATTTAAAAATTGTTTGACATCCCCAATTATAATAAATGTCTACAGATGAGATCAAACAAAACAGATGAGAATTGCCTTTAAAGAGCAAGTCACCGCCAAATAAACTTTTTTTGCTGATAAACTAAATAAACGAGTGTCTAATCGTGCTGCAGACACGTGTCATCAATAATTTGGCACTTCAGTGCATCTTAGTTAAAATTTAAATATTCTGCCTAAAACTGGCAGTGTTGTGCCGTTGTCAGGTAAAAACTCTGCACTGTATATTAATTTAAATCTGCCACCGCTATTGGCTGAGAAGTATGCTATGATGTAAACTGGTACATTATGATGTCACAATGCTGTCGTGAGCCTGAGTGTGTGTGTATTTGTTAGCGGCTCCGCCCTCTCGGTCTGCCAAGCAACAGCATGTGTTGCATTTTTCAAACATGAAGTGGGAGTGGAGTTAGACTCTGGTAGGGGTTGACTTGCTCTTTAAGCTGTTTAACTTTACCAAGCATTTTAGGTCACAGATAGGTGTAGCTTAGGGTCTCTGTCTATACACCTTATAAGACAATTTAGGTGATGGCATGTTGTTTTTCTGCTATTGAACAGTTTTCTAATAATGTTGTGTTTAATAAAGTGAAGGAAGGAGACAAAATAACGTTTCCCTAGCAGTTTTTAAAAATGTCCCCATGTAATCCGATTAATCGATTAATCGTGTCGAGACCCCATCTGATTCATCGATTATCCAAATAATCGTTTGTTGCAGCCCTAGTCAGAGGGACAATTCCTGTTATTTAGCTGTGATCCCGTTTGTGCTCCGACATGCAGACGAAGACTCAGGTCTTTTGTTTCCTGGAGGTGGGGGTGGGGTGGAGAGGGGCAAAAAAAAAAAACGACTTCTGAAAAAGCTGGTGGGAAGAAGCTCCCAGTTTTCCCAGTTTCTGATCCCACTAGTCTCAGGAGTCTGCACCCTTTTCCTGCTCTAGGGGGTTTGAGGAAAACCGTCACAGCAAAAGATCAAAGGCTACAGGATGTGCAAGCAGGGTGCATGCTGGGAGATGTAGTACTTGTTAGGGAGGGTTCAGTACCTGCTTCCGTTTCAAAGATGAATTCTTAGACTGCAGACAGAAGGACAGACAGACGAGGGATGAAAACAGCAGGATGAGGCACGAGACACAAACAGGAAATGAGTCTGATCTATAAACAAACATCAGCAGCTGTTTCCTGGAGCGTTACTCCAAAAAACCACAGAAGAAGAGGAGCAAACGAGTGGAGCAGCAGCAGAAGAAACCATCAGGCAGTGATGATGACTCCAGATTAAATAAACTACAAATAATGAAAAACACAAATAAAGTTTCTGGAGAAAATAATTATGAAAAAATTAAATTAATTTTCTAAATGAGCCAAATTAAATTGGCCTCCAGTGATTCTGTTGCTGATGAACCAGAACCTTTTAGGTTCTGACCCAATTAATCGGCTCCGGGTCGTCGTACTTACGGGCGCGGCGCTGTCTCTGCTGAAGGTGCTTTTAGGAAGCGGGCGGAGATGATGGAGGTGTGGTGGGAAGGAGGCCGTGACTGGGCGTGGCAGCTGGTAAAGGTGGTGTGGAAAATATGGCTGAGGGGTGGGGGGGTGGGGGGGGGGGGGAGAAAATCAAAACAACGTTCATGGAGATGTCAACATGGAAAAAGTAAACAACTCAAATGAAGGAGGAAATCTCTGAAGCAGCTCCATCTGGATCAGCTGATTGGCCCTGAGAGCCGAGCTCGATGGTGATTGGTCGGCTGCCTGTCAGCAGAAATTTCCCTCAAAACAATCAAATCAAATCAAAGCAGAAAGAAACGAGGAGTGAACTGAACCAGGAGCATGCAATCACATGATGTGATGATGTCACAGCTCTACCAGGTGAGGAGGCAGTGGGCGGGGCCTGTACTAACCCTGTTGTAGAAGGGATGCTGTGGGCCGGCCATCCCGCTGTAGTAGCTGCTGTGAGGCTGCGGGGAGATGACGCCCCCTGGTGGCTGGTTGAAGGGTCCGCTGAAGGAGGCGGACGGCGAACAGGTGGACGACACCTGGCTGTAGACGGAGATGGGGCGGGGCTGGGCCTCCTGCAGTGGGATGGCTGGGTATGTGACTCCACCCATATTCATCTGCTCTCGAGCGGCACAAACATCTGGATCAGGAAGAGAACATCTGGGTTAGATGAAAAAACCAAACAGTGGAACTGAAATGGAGAGAAAACATCTGGATCAGTAAAACCAGAGTCCAAAGACATCTGTCCCAGTTAAACAGGTAGGAGGACACGAACTTCTAATCCTTCTAATTCCTCTGCAGAAGACTCGCCTGCCAGTCTCACCTGAGATGATCTCACGGAGCTTTGGGTCCAGGTTGACGGTGCACGGCAAGAAGGTGTGAATGTCTCGGGCTGCCAGGACAGGAGTCCGCGAGGACAGGAAGACCTCGAAGCTGCGGACGTCTCCGTCGATCTCCAGCAGCGGCTCCACATCTTTGGTGGTGGGGATGTTTTTGGACACTCTGACGAACGAGACACATCAGATGCTGAACAGAACTGGAGGTTCCGGGACCGGAGCTGAAGGAGACCTCTGACCTGTCGTAGATGGACTTGAGCGTGGTCTGGTCCGAGACCCCGTCCGTCTCCTCCAGGTACAGGATGAGCCAGGATGTCCTGTAGGGCCACTGCTCCGTCAGGTTGATCCAGGACGCCAGGCGGTCCCAGTTAAAGCTGATCTGATTGGCTCGTAGCAGACGACCTGGACAAAACAGGAAGAGGCGGGTTTATCGACCGTCACGGATCCAGATGGACTGGAGGCTGATGGGAAGTCCCGTATCACCTTTTGACGGAGACGATGTTCAGCAGCCTCCTCATGGACTGCGGGCTGATGTCGCTGAACCAGTCCTCCGTCACCATCAGCTTCGTCAGGTCGAAGGACATCTGACGGGTCACGGAACGCTGCACCTGACGGCACCGGTACGTGTCCTGTATCCACACAACACAGGTCACATGACCTCAATCAGCTGAGCCACAGCAGGACGGCAGTGACACGAAATGAGACCAATCATCAGACAAAACTGTAATTATTACACACACACACACACACACACCCTACCCGGCGGTTCGGCGTGGTTTTGCTGCCAAACTTGGTGATCTCTCCCAGGCTGTGCTGAGACAACTTCCTGTCCAGCTCCTCGTGCCAGCCTACAGGACACAAACAGGAAGTAGGTCATGACTTGTCTCCAGCAGGAATCTGCTGCCTCTGCGGTCCAAACAGACGTTTCCAGCTTTTCCACAAGCTTTTGATCATTTTAATAAACATCTACAGAAGAACAGAGCCATGAAAAACTTATTTTGTCTTCAGATTTCTGAAAACTTAAGGATTTCGTGCACTGAAACTGCATTAGTGAAAGTTACAATGATATTCTCATGGCCTCAGATAAGAATCTTGTGTCTGTTCTAGTCTTGTTAGATCTCAGTGCTGCCTTTGACACAGTTGATCACAAGGTTCTTTTAGAAAGACTTGAACATGCTGTAGGGATCAAAGGAACAGCGCTAGGCTGGTTTAAATCCTACCTGTCTGACAGATTTCATTTTGTAAACGTACACGACAAATCTTCATACTCCAGGGTTACTTGTGGAGTACCACAGGGTTCAGTGCTTGGACCAATTCTTTTTACTACATATATTAGGGGTGTAATGGTACGCTAACATTATATTCAGTTTGGTGCTTTTAAGAGCTGGGTTTGATGAATTTCTGGTATATAATATTTATTTCATGTCTGAAGCGGCTCCTATAGAGAGCAGAAGCAGGTGTCATCACAGGTGCTGATCTAGCATCTTTAATTATTTCACAGGTTATTAGTGCAGCTATGAGCGTCACGATCATACAGACACGTGTTTGACTGTTGATGCTCCTGTTTTTATTTCTGCAGCGAGCCTAAAAAACTCCCCTCACACCGCCCAGAGGTTCTCCTTTATAACTCGTATTAAATAACGAACTTCCTCCGCGCCGTGTTTTTGTTGTAGGATGAAAACTTTACATCAATTGTCCCAGCGGGAAGTTCAGCAGACGTGTCTGTTTACATTTTAGCCACTGCGTGCCGACAGTGTGAGAGAAGGGAGGGAGGGGCTAAGAGACGCTCCCTTCATCTACGGGGTCCAGCAGTAGCTCCAGCAGCAGTGACAGCCAGCTGGTTCGATCCGCTCTGAAAGGCCTTGATCAGAATTTGCAGATCACATTTTTTAAACGACAATCAGGCACGTGCAGCCATCATGCGTCACTCAATACAGCGTCTGTGCGGAAACTCGCCTAGGAACTTTTATCTGCTGCACTTAAATTACGCAAATGGACCCAACCGAATAGCAGGGTTTCCCCCAGGGCTTTATAAGCCTGGCGGCCTGCAAAGCTTTCCTTGGCCCGCCCCTCCCCCATCCCCGACCGTGTCAGCTGACACAAACGGCGCAACCAAACTAGAGCCCTCCATCAGCTGATTCTGGTGAGAAACAGCAGCAGAAAGTGTGCAACCCCACTCCCCCCCCCCCCCCCCCCCCCCCCCCCCCCCCCCCGGCTCTCACACGTGCACGAGCGTGTGTGTGTGCGTGCGTGAGCTCTGTCTTCTCCATCACCAGTGAGTCGTGGATGGCTGCTTATACTGAGCCAGGATCCTCTGGAGGTTTCTTCCTGTTAAATGGGAGATTTCCTCTCCACTGTCGCTGCATGCTTGCTTAGTATGAGGATTGCTGTAAAGACGCTGACACTAGTCAGTGACTCGATGCAACCTGCTGGGTTCCTTATATAGGAAACCTTTTACTGATTGGCTTCATGAACATACCTGTGTTGGGATGAAGGTCCTTGAGGCGACTCTGGTCCTGATTATAAAAAACTGAACTGACCCCAAAATTCCACTATCTCCGCTCCGCCCCCGCTTTCTGCTGCCGCTCGCTTCCGAACTCAATTTTTACTGGTACCCGCTCTACAACGGCTCCGCTCCGGTGCGGAGACCTGAGGTGCGCAAACAGGCATGCGCAGGATTTTCGAGATCTTGCGATACAGTCCAAGCAATAAACGCGGAAGTTAGATCCAAACACCCGTTGTGTGGGAGAAGCATCGAAATGAACCGTTTAATCTGCCCATCATTTGTGTTGAGAGATCAGCAGAGTTTGGATCAACAAAGGGCGACTACTTTGACAGTGGAAACTGTATTTATGGCTTATTTTTGTGCATTTAAACTTCAGCCGCCATTGATAGTTGTTAAAAGTTGTTAAACCTGTGCATATGAAACAAAAAACGCATTTTGTTTATCGATTTATTGTGAAATAACGGAAGTTGTGCTTGCTCCCTTTCCTGTTGGGCGGTTGTGATTTCTGTCCATTGACTGCGGAGGTGCTCCGGCGTCCGGTAAAAATAGAATCGATCCTATTTTTGCCAGATGGCGGAACGGCGGGCGGCGCAGTGCGCCACACGGCCGCAGTGGTGGAACAGCTCTGATTGACTACAACGGGACCGTTTTTGCTGCGGAGTTCTTGCCGGAGCGGAGATAGTGGAATTTTGGGGTGAGTTGGACCTAGAGTGATGGGAGGGAACGGGGGGGTGGGGGGGGTGGGGGGTCTGTAGTCGTAACCTTCAGCGTTGGCGGCGTCCCCGTTGGCAGGCGCAGCGGCGGTGCACATCTTCTTGGCGGTGGAGAGTCCACGGCTGTTGAGGAAGACCGGCAGCTGGACGATGTTCCTCATATAGTCGTGTCCGTTGATGTTGGAGTCTCTAAGGACACTGTTCAGGTTCTGGTTGATGGCTTTGATGATGATGTGAGGGTCGCTGGCGAAGATCAGAATCAGAAAATCAGAATCAGAAAAGGTTTATTGCCATTGTCAATGAACAAGCAGTTCACAAACTAGGAACTTGTTTCGGTACTAATGTGCCACATATAACATGAATAATACATTTCAGAAATAGAATAAGTAGAATAAAATATAATAAACTAGCATAAAACATTCAGCTATAAAAAAGGCAGATAGTGGTAACATGGCCGATAACGTGACGTAGTGTCGAGTACAGAAGACGAGCATGGTTGTGTGATTATAAGCTATTTACAAGTCTAACGGCAGATGGAAAGAAGCTGTTCTTATGGCGGGAGGTTCTGGTCTGGATGGACCGTAACCTCCTGCCTGAGGGAAGCGGCTCGAAAAGTCTGTGTCCCGGGTGAGAAGGGTCAGCTGCAATCCGGCCTGCACGCCTCCGAGTTCTGGAGACGTACAGGTCCTGGAGAGATGGAAGGCTGCAGCCAATCACCTTCTCAGCGGAGCGCACAATGCGCTGCAGTCTGTGTTTGTCCCTCACCGTGGCTCCAGCGTACCACACAGTGATGGAGGAAGTGAGGATGGACTCAATGATGGCCGTGTAAAACTGCACCATCATCTGGGCCGGCAGCTTGGCCTTTTTCAACTGCCGCAGAAAGTACATCCTCTGCTGGGCCTTTTTGATCAGGGAGCTGATGGATGGCTCTCACCTAAGGTCATGTGTGATGGTGGTTCCGAGGAAGCGGAAGGAGTCCACAGTGGTGACGGGGGTGTCCGTCAGGACGAGGGGGAGAGATGGGGCTGTGACTTTCCTGAAGTCCACAATCATCTCCACTGTCTTCTGAGCATTGAGCTCCAGGTTGTTGCTGCTGCACCAGTACGCCAGCCGTTCCACCTCCCTCCTGTAGGCGGACTCATCACCGTCAGAGATGAGCCCGATGAGGGTGGTGTCGTCCGCAAACTTGATCAGTTTAACGGAGTCATGGCTCGAGGTGCAGCAGTTTGTGTACAGGGAGAAGAGCAGAGGAGACAGTACACAGCCCTGTGGGGATCCTGTGCTAATTGTCTGAGTGGTGGAGACATTCTTCCCCAGCCGCACGCACTGCCTTCGGTCCGTCAGGAAGTCAGTGATCCACCTGCAGGTGGAATTGGGTACGTTAAGCATGGAGAGCTTGTCCTGGAGCAGAGCAGGGAGGATGGTATTGAACGCAGAGCTGAAGTCCACAAACAGGATCCTAGCGTAGGTTCCCGGGGAGTCCAGGTGCTGCAGGATGAAGTGGAGGGCCAGGTTGATGGCGTCGTCTACAGACCTATTGGCTCTGTATGCGAACTGCAGAGGGTCCAGGAGGGGGGAGGTGAAGGACTTGAGATGAGGGAGGACCAGGCGCTCAAAAGACTTCATGACTACAGACGTCAGCGCCACAGGCCTGTAATCATTCAGTCCAGTGACATGGGGTTTCTTAGGCACAGGAACAATGGTGGACAGCTTAAAGCAGGCTGGAACATGGCAGGACTCCAAGGAGATGGTAAAGATGTCCGTGAAGATTGGAGACAGTACCTCTGCGCAGTGTCTCAGGGTTGCGGGGGAGACACCGTCCGGGCCCGGGGATTTCCGAGGGTTTTGCTTACGGAAAACCCTGAGCACATCCTTTTCTTTCACTGAGATGGCAATGGAGGGGGAGGGGTGGTCAGCGGGGACTGTACTATTCACAGTGGTGAAGGTGGTGGGGGAGGCATGTGACACCAGAGTGGCTGAAGAAACCTGTGCAGTAGGGGGTGTGGGGGATGGGTGTTGCACTTCAAACCTTGCATAAAAGGAGTTGAGTCGTTCAGCCAGTTGTAGGTCGTCAGCAGCATGTTGGGCTCTGGGCTTGTAGTTTGTGATTTGCCTGAGCCCTCTCCAGACAGAGGCGGAGTCATTGTTAGAGAACTGCTCCTTTAGTCGCTTGTTGTACAGAGATCTCGCCTTCTTCAACTCTTTTGAGAACCTGTACTTAGCGCCCTTGTAGCTCTCTCTGTCCTTAGCTCTGTGAGCTGCTTCTTTCTCCCTCCTCAGCTCCCTCAGTTTGGGTGTGAACCAGGGCTTATCGTTGTTAAAAGTGGCCCTGGTTTTAGTTGGAATAATGCTGTCCTCACAGAATTTTATGTATGATGTCACAGTGTCTGTATATTCATCCAAGTTGTCTGTGGCAGATCCAAACACGTTCCAGTCTGTTGTGTCCAGACACACGCGAAGCTCCTCCACAGCCTCGCAGGTCCACTTTTTAGTAGTCCTCACTGCAGGCTTGGAGAGCTTCAGCCTCTGCCTATATGAGGGGATGAGGTGAATCATGGCGTGGTCTGAGAAGCCGAGAGCAGCACGCTGCACGGCTTGATAAGCTCCACTGACTGTAGTGTAGCAGTGGTCCAGCGTGTTCTGCTCTCTTGTCGGGCATTTAACAAACTGTCTGTACTTAGGCAATTCCTGGCTCAGATTTGCCTTGTTAAAGTCCCCGAGGATAATAACTAGAGAGTCCGGAAAGGTCTGTTCCACACTTAGGATCTGCTCCGCGAGCGCACGTTGTGCCTCGCGCACGTCCGCGCACGGCGGGATGTAAACAGCGGCCAGAATGAATGAAGCGAACTCACGTGGGGAGTAGAATGGCTTACAGTTTATGAAGAGGAATTCCGGGGCAGGAGAACAGTGCTGGGAAATCACAGTCACATCCGAACACCAGGCATTGTTGATGTAGAAGCAGACACCTCCACCTTTTGTCTTTCCTCCGGATAAGACCCGCTGTCTGTCGGCGCGGATGAGCTGGAATCCCTCCAAATGGAGCGCGCAGTCCGGGATCTGCTCGCTGAGCCATGTTTCCGTAAAGCACAAGACAGAAGAGGAAGAAAAGTCTCTGTTCCGTCTCATCAGCAACGCCAGTTCATCCGTCTTGTTACTGAGTGAGCGGACATTTGAGAGGAAGATCCCAGGTAAGGGCGTACGTGAGCCGCGTCTCCGTAGACGCACGAGCACTCCCGCACGTTTACCTCTTCTACGGCGTCTCACTTTCTTAATAAAAAAGTGGACCAAATCCGCCACACTCACTAAAAAAACTGGAAGTAGGTCCGTCGGTGTTGATGATCTGATGCTTAGAAGCTGTTCACGGGTGTAAGAGCACGCTGACACACAATTAACAGACAAAAACAAACAAAACACGCCGCACGTTAGCACCAGGGCGACCATCCTCGGCGCCATCTTGGTCAAGATGGAGATGAAGGGACCTTTGGAGAATAAAACCCGAACCTGCGGGGCAGAAGGAACCAAATGGGTCACTGCTGTAGAACATTGGCGCTTTTTATCTCGTTACCGGCAGACCCCTCCCTCAGCACCAGGACCACCGGTACCGGTACATGTTGACCAGCAGCTTTAAAAGCGTCAAACGGGACTTTACGGATGACGAGGATGAAGATGACTCCGATGAGGATGAGGAGCAGGGCTCCAAACGGGGCGAGGAGGACGAACCGTCCCGGTACCGGGTCACCAAAGTCCCGTCCAGCCAGAGTCTGAGCTCCGCCGAACCGGAGTTCTACCCGTCCGGACGGCACTTCTATAGCTTCAAGAACATCACCCGGCAGGGAGGCAGCACCTCCTCCTACCCGGCCTCCCTCTCACCAGCCTCCTCCTCCCGGTCCGGGTCCACCTCCTCTTGCTGCGGGGAGGACCCGGACGACCTCCCAGCCGACGGAGCCGACCTCGCCCTCAACTTCCTGGGCGGCTTCAGCTCCTCCTCCGACCCGTGGACCTCGTCCTCCTGCGGGTCCGCGGGCGGCCTTAGTCTGTCCCTGGTGGACAAAGACCTGGACTCCTGCAGCGGGGTCAGCCTCGGCTCCCACTTCGACTTCCCGGACCACTGCACACCAGAGCTCAGCGAGATGATCGCTGGGGACTGGCTGGAGGCCAACTTCTCGGACCTGGTCTTCACCTATTGACCCAGCGCGGGTTCGGCTCCCGAGTCTGTCTCGGAACCGGTTCTGAGGGGTGATCCAGAACCAGTCAGGGAGCGGGGTGACGCTGCTGCCCGGGCTCAGTGCGCGGGGGTCGGCTGTGCTCTTGGCTCGGAGTCGCTCCCCGTGGTGGAGGAAATGAAACGACCAACAGGGTTTTATGGGTTTAGTTTTCAGTGTCTCGGGTCAGAACCAGGACCCGAACCCGGACTATGCATTCCCGCTCAGCCCCAACAGAACTCTGATTTCAGGACTTTTGCTGCAGGTTTCTGACCTTTTAACCTTGTTTTAGTGAGTTTGCAGCTCATTGAAACCCGAACAGGAAACATTTTGATATTTACAAAAACGAGAAAACCAAACGTACCTCAGCTTTTTAATAAACTCAAAATAAAACTATTTTCAGGCATATTTTTGTACATTCAGAGGGAATGTCAGGCACTTCTACTTCCACAGTTTTTTTCTGAGCATGTGAGGGTTTGATTCCCTGCAGCCTGCCTTGCTTTAATGCCTTGCAGATGTTTTAAGGGTGTACAGACAGATGTTTACAGGGAGGACTGGTCAGATTGTACAGGTTGTGTAAAATAGTTTAGAAGTTTGTGTATTTCAATGTGAGCAGGAGAGAAACTGGATTTTCTGTTGCCTTTCTTATTATTTTTCTACCACTTCCATCAGCAGCACGTGTTTGTTTTGCTCATTATTTTTGTGCAATATGAAAGAAAAGAGGGTGGAGCTAAAAGGCCGCCACTAGTGTTTCTGATAGCAGATGAGAAAACGTGTAAACTCGTCCTTTTGTGATAAAATCTGTTTGTCACACTGAATAAATCAGCTGGAACTGAGTCTTCTCATTGATCCTTTAGATCATCAGAGATATAACCTGCTTCAACACACCTGATTTAAATCAGCAGGTGAATACCCGGCTTCTGCAGAGCCTGATGAGCTGCTGCACAGGGGAATCGGCTGTGTTGAATCAGAGAAACCACTAAAACATGCTGGGTACCGGACATGCAGGACCAGAGTTGAAAACCTCTGCTTTAGATGAACCCTGGGCTCCTATTGGCTGCTGCTCGGATCCTGGTTAAGCACCAGTTCTGGCTAAGAAGGCCAATACCGATCACCACCTATGATTTCTCTAAAACTTTTAACAGGAAGCAGTTTAATGGTGCTCATAACTTAAAGATGATACTGGAGTTAAAACATCTACAGAAGAAGGTTAAATTCAAAAGTCACTTTAAATTAATCCTTGGGCTGCAGCTGTTGCTGGGATTTCCTCCACAGACCACACACATGCTAAACGTCCCTGGGTATGTGTAGACCGGTAGTTTGTGTCTGATGGGCTGTGGACCAGTCTGGTGACTACAGCCGACACCATTTCCCTGCTGAGGGATACGTGGTGACCAGTATCAGCCTTTTGTACCAGATCGGTGCATTTCTGCAGCTAACGACATTTCATCTAACAAAGTTGTCTCGGATTCTGGGGTTTTTGTCCACGTCTCAGATTTTAAGAGTCAAAATTCATGACTGGGATTAAAATCTGTGAGATTTTCTGAATCTCAGGAACTTTGAAGACTTTCCAGAAGAATCTGATTTTCAAAATAAAAGAATGTAACTGGTGCTCATATTACTAAAGGTTTGCTTTTGCCTCTCAGGAGTTACAGAAATTATGCTGAAGCCTTAAATGTCCACGGATCATCACAAAACTAGTTCAGCTGCTGATTGTGTTGCCATGGCAACCCATTTAATTTTCTACCATGGTTTAATGAGTTTGTTTTTAAATTAAACCAAATAAGAACTGCAGGACATTCCCACGTGTCACATTTTACTACTAAACAGTTAGAGAGCAGAATTGGTTCTGGTGATCAGAACCAGTTCTGCTCTGTCTCATTTCTGACCGACGGGTCCAAATGAGCTGGTTCAGGATCTGTTAAAAGGCCGCGATGACATGTAGGGTCATGAGTAGGTGTTGGACCTCAGTGAGGTCATGGAGCGGGATCTGAATCCAGAACATCAGAAAGCATCCAGCATCACTTCAGCCCAGAACAAGTTGGTTCTGATCGAGGAAACAACACAAACATCTGGAACTAGAACTAGAACCCAGATCCCAGAGGTTCTAAGGAGCTCCCATATTTAACCTAATCCTGGTGTGTGTGGGGGTGCGCGAGCTGCCGCTAGGGGGTGCGCGAGGTGAAAAGTGTAATGGCTGCGGAGCTCAGAGAAGTCTGTCATGTGTCACCATTATTGTAGAAACTCATTTGTGGGTGGGCCAAAGAAAAAGTAAGTGGGCACAATAAATGTAAGTGAAAACAAGTATATTTTTGCGCGCATGTCCTCCACATGTGCCATAGCTTCATAATAACAATGCGCCGAGCTTCAGCACTCTGGCCTGCGCACTCCGATATGTTCCGTATTTGATCATTTTTAACGGTGTTGGAGAAATCTGAAGGTGGTGAGTCATTCTGGCAGATTGTAATCAACACCTGTCTCATTTAGGTGTTCTGATATTGTAAACCTCACACACAGAACATTGTGGATGTAGCAAAATAACAAGAAATGATTCCCATTCAGGCTATTAACAGCGCGCTGAAGATCTGAAGTTCAGAGTGCGTCTGTCAGAGGTCAGACGCGTTCCAGCGGAACCACGGCTCACGGGTGCACAAGTGAGCACATCTGGGCTGGGCAGAAGTAATTTTACAACATTTGTTTAAATAGCGCGAGACGCGGTGACTTGAGCGGCTGTGCCGCGCGCGCATGCGCGCGCGCACACACACACACGCACACAGATTCAATAAGCGCACACACTGCTTTAACTCCGGCGCTGTCAGACTGAAGGCAGAAATGAGTGCTGCCTCCACCGTGATAAAAACTTTTAAGAGGTTATTTTTCATTCAAGGTCAAATTAAGATATTAGCTTCTGGGATGAGTCGGGTCGCTCCAGCCAGTGACTCCTCATGAACCTGACCACAAGTCCTGTTACTGCAGCATTTGTTATTCTAGTCAGCGTGGCAGCGGATCGCAGATTCAGCCACACCATAAAACAGCAATAAGTCGGTCTGAGGTAAAAGTGAACCTCATGGCTATATCTTGTCCCCTATTGACATTTGATTACGCACAAGTAGGTGATCAGCTCAGGTTTACGCAGAGCAGAAGGAAGGAGAGCGCTCTCGCCACAGGTTAAACGTTCCTACTTTAAGAAAACCGTTAAATTGCATTGTTTATGTGCTACCTGGGCACTCTAAATATTTATTTAAAATGAAATCAAAGGAAATTGTAATGGTATCGAATGTTTATTAATTACTATTTAAAAAATGAAAGTGATGGGGAATTTTTTTAACCCTGTCTGTTTAGCTTGACATCTGATATATATATATATATATATATATATATATATAGAGAGAGAGAGAGAGAGAGAGAGAGAGAGAGCCATGCCCCGATGTGGGGGCGGGGGCGGGGGGGGGGGGGGGGGGGGGGTGCGTCGACATGGTCGGGACATAGAAGGGGGTGCGCGGCTAAATAAGTTTGGGAACCACTGTTTTAAAGAAAAGCGTCTGGACTTCTTTGAGTTGCTTGAAGACGTTTCACCTCTCATCCGAGAGGCTTCTTCAGTTCTAAGGTCAAATGGTGGAGAGTCCCAGATTTAAACCCAGTGGGAGTTTCCCCCCGAAGAGGGAACAAAAGACCCCCTGATGATCTTCTATGAGCCAAGGTGTGAGGGTGGGTGTGGGTCCTATTCAGCCAGAGTTTCGGGTGAGCTCATTGTGAAGCCTGGCCCCACCCTATTATGTGAATTCCTGAGGTCAGATGGCCCAGGATATGCGTGGGCGTTGAGGCATCTGGGAAGGGATCTCAAAACTGGATTATAGATGGCAGACAGTTGGTGTCGTAAACCACCGCCTCTGTTCAAAGATGGTTGCTCACAGTGGACATAAATGGCTTCCTTTACTCCTCTTTCAAACCATCTGTCCTCTCTGTCCAAAATGTGAACGTTGGCATCCTCGAAAGAGTGACCTTTGTCCTTTAGATGTAAATGAACTGCTGAGTCCTGTCCCGTGGAGGTGGCTCTCCTATGTTGTGCCATGCGCTTGTGAAGTGGCTGTTTGGTTTCTCCGATGTGGAGGTCTCGGCATTCCTCACTGCACTGTACAGCATACACCACATTGTTCAGTTTGTGTTTAGGAGTTTTGTCTTTCGGGTGAACCAGTTTCTGTCTGAGTGTGTTGCTGGGTCTGAAGTACACTGGTATGTTGTGTTTGGAGGGGTAGGATGCAGGCGCTTGGCCCTGTCTGACCCCATCCGATGTTTCCACTGTGTGAACCAGTTCTCCCAGATGCAGAGCCAACAGGCAGCAGAACCTGAACGTGTTCAGATGTTTTATTAGTAAATAAATCTGCTTCATCTGATCCCATCTGGATGAAATTTGGTCTTGGATATTCAGAGCGGTTTTCCATCCGGGTGAGGTGACTCCTATCGCCGCTGCTCTCTGATCAGATGTCTGGCAGCAGATCAAAGGCAGCTGCAGCACTCAGCTGGACCATTTCCAGCCTGATAAATCTGTGGGATAATCAAGACCAACAGCAGAGCATTCTGGGTGAGGAGACGGTGAGGTCACGCTGAGGTCAGGGAGCCTCCTAAAGGGTTCAAACTTTAACTCTGATGTTCCTCTGATTCCAAACAGGAAACATCTCATATGGAAATGATCGGATCCGGGAATCAGATTATCGCACAAAGGTGAGCCGGAAAGGAAAACCTCTTAAATGGATGTGAGCAGAGATGATGGAAGTTTTCAGCATGAAAACATTCAAATGAATGAGAAATAAAGCAAGTTTTATTCTTTTTCAGTTAAAATATGATTTGTTTATGGAAGCAATGAAGCAGGTGAGCTGCTGAAGCTCCTCCCTACAGGTGTACGTTTCTCCTGAGGAACATCCACGTGTCACACCTGCATGGTCCTGCAGAAGCCAGAACATGCAGCTTTAACTCTGCACCTTATCTGCTTCCTCTTGTTGCTATTTGCATACTTTTGCCCTTTTATCTAGAGGGGAACGAGGAGCTCACCGTTGCTGACGTCCCCTTTACCTGGAACTTCTTATCAAACTCCAGAGCGCCTGACTCGCTGCAGCAGAGCAGAGATGATACTACTGCTGAAGTTCTGCTTCAGGTGCAGCTAAAGGCCAAAGCGCTCCTACATTTCCCATCATGCATTTCAGTACGGTCACCCCTATGTGGGACAGAGAAGCCTTACTTAGCATAAAGAACAGACAGCGCACTACTGGGGGTCAGGAACTTTGGTCACGAGGGCCACTGACTAGCATGTTTTAGTTGTTTTCCTGCAACACAACTGATTTTAATCAGCAGGTGATCAACAGGCCGAACAGGTGGTTCAACCATTCAGTCAGGTGTGCCGGAGCAGGAGAACATGCTGGATCGTGGCCTTCCAGCTCCAGGGCCGGAGTTCAGAGAGATGTGGACTGAGCTGCTTAGCTGCAGAAATGGAATGCGGCCCTTGTGGTCACACCTGCACCAGGCATTTTCTCTGATACTCATCAGGTAAGGAAGAAACGTTTGATCGGGAACAGGTACAATAACAGCCTGGTATCTGGCGCCACCTGCTGGAGACTGTTTTAGGATTTCAATTAGCAGAAAGTGGAAGTGTCTTTTCAAAGTAAAAGGTCATTCAAATGGCCCAACATGAAGAGTTGGACTAAATCTTTTATGTTAGAAACCACATCAGTCCCAAATATCTCAGGAGGTTCAATTCAATTTTCAATTTAAGTTTATTTATATAGCGCCAAATCACGACAACAGTCGTCTCAAGGCACTTCACATAAACATTCCAATACAG